GTGTAAAGGGGTGTGTGTGACTGCGCGGGTGTAGGAGGCGTGTCACGTTTGGCAGCTTCATAGAGGCGTTTCCCTGTCATGTATGTTAGTTTGCACTGATGTGTTTCTAATGAGCAGAAGAAATAAAACACAAACTGGAGCTGCGTGATCGTAACGCTGAGCTCAGACTCTCTAAGACTCAAGCTTTAAATCTGTTAGCGCTCCCTGATAAACCTGTGAGAGCGTTTGGAGATTCCACTTCTGTAAAATAAATTAGAAATTTTGCTCTTTTATTCTCGGATTTCACTCTCAGCTGATCTGATCACTCGTGCGGTCATGTTTTCATTTGTTTGTCTTCTGTGATCTGCTCTTTAAAAACACGCTGCTCTGACAAACATGCTGAAAACCAACGAGTTCGTCTGAAACGACGTTCGTCTCGCTCTGTTTGCTGATGACTCTGTGTTTTATACGTGATTTGATTTCTGCTCAGTCGGCTGCAGAACAAAGCTGGGACGGTTAACATCTGGTTAACATCTGGTTAACATCTGGACTGGTTCCTTTGATAAAAGTTTCTATGTGAATGTTTTTGCACTGAAATAAGTTTCTGGTGCACAGAGTTGACCCAGTGTATTTAAAACTACATATAGACTGAAATGTGCAAATCAAAGATGCCAACAGAAAAGTCTTTCAGGTGTTTTTGTCCACCACAGACGACATCATGAGCAGGCCAAGCCTCAAACTAACCGTGAACCAAATGAAATGAGAACAAATGTTTCACTGTGAAAAAAGGTTTAAATTGGGACAAAAAAGATATTTAAGGTTTAAAACAAGATGCAACAGATCTAAACCCTTTGTGCTGTAAACAGTTTGCTTTGATGTAAACGTCTCCGTTGTTTCTCACCACTCTTCATCCTCCTCTTCCTCCCCTGCAGTCTCCGTGTTGCAGACGGTGCTGGTCAGCGCTGGTCAATGTGACTCGGTGTTCAAGGGTTTCTCAGACTGCCTCATCCAGCTGGGAGACAACATGGCCAACTATCCCCAGGACCTGGACGACAGCCAGAACCTGCACAAGATCTGCACGTACGTTTACCACAAACACACACAGACACACACAAACACACACAAACACACACAAACACACACAAACACACCGTCACATCAGTGGGGGCGGGGCTTATAGCTTATTGACGCAGTTTTCTTACAACTGTTGAAGGTATTTGTTTTCCCCTCTGGATCTTTGTTCCAATAAACTAGTTTCTTTAATTAAATATATTCAAATATGTCATTTAAAGTCCAATAATACGTAGTCACATAGTAACAATAATTATAGTGCTAAGCTAGGCTACTAAAGGACGTCATCCACGTCTAACAAACCTCTCTGGTCCTGATTATTTAACCCCGTTAATCGATAAAGTGAAAAATATGTCTATAAACAGTAATGAGTCCATAAGAGGTCGTTTCTGCATCAGACTCGTAGAGAAAACAGGAAGTGCTGTTTGAGCGATCCTCACTGCAGTTATTGATTTTATAGTTTCCATCCTTTTCAAAACGACGTGACAGTAATGAGTCAGAGGACAGAGATCTGCTCTCATCTCGACAAACTGGAGCTTAGCTGCAGTGGTTTGGTTTTACGGGGCCGTGTGAACTGGTCTCTGGCGCTGAGCCCCATCTGTGACGCTTGAAGAGTCTGATCTCACAGAGACCAGTAAGAGTGATTTAACCGCGAACCCTGAGGGGGAAACGGGTGTAGTCAGTGGGGGAGTGCGCATATGTGCAGCCCAGATGACCCCCACCATCTTCCCTTTAATCCACCATCCATCCCACCACCCAAACCGGGTGGGCACCAGATGGCACGCTGCAGCAAGGAGCCCCCACCCTCCCCGCACACACATGACTTTTTAATTCAGTGACAGCTCCATCACAGCGGTGTTGAGGCGTGGCAGGAGGCGCGTTAATACGCCTCCACACACACACACACACACACACACACACACACACACACA